CTCCCAGCTTCTGCACAAAAGACCATGGCTCTACTCCTGCATACAAATTTGACGATAAAGTAAGCAATAATTGAAGATTAGAACAACTTGCACATTTCCTCTTGTGGTGCATCTGGCCCCCCTGACTTATGAAAAGGAGCACTTAACCCCTTAAGGTTTGCTAAATGAACATCGGGAGGCTTGCTGTTAGTCTTTCCAACAGGTATTGCGATTTTACTGGTGCAACCCTGAATTGCCAAGTTAATATATGTTCAAAATTAAATTCAATATTTTGTTTTTGTTTTCTAATTTTTCTTTTTCAATTTAAAAACTAATTTATGCTTTTAAACCCCCGTTGAATGTTTCAACCACTATTTTCGTGTTAACACCCTGCCAAGGAAAATGAGAAAATTAGCCCCTCAAAATATTTTTCACGGGCAGATAAACCCTTGATAATACTTTGGTGGCAAATTCACCCTAGACTCACCAACAGTGGCAAGTATCTCCAACATAGACGAAACCGTTGGTCTTCATTAAATTTTTGTGACGTACTCCTCCGGTCCTCTGTGGTTGTGCCACTTACTAAATAAAGATGTCCCAATTAGTTGCCTCACTTTCTATTTTAAAAAGGTTAAATACCTTTTTTGGTCCATCTACTATAAAAAAAAGCTCTTTTTTAGTCCTTATATCGAAAAAATTCCCTTTTTGATCCTTACTGTTCACAAATCCGGCCCCTTTTTAGTCCCTCCGTTAAATTTTGGCTTATGTGGCACGTTAATTTAACTAAAACAGCTGACGTGGTATACCAACGTGTAAAATATGTTTATGTGGACTCCACGTCACCCTCCACGTCACCCCACTTCCTCCAACTTTTTTTTTTTTTGTCCTTTTTTCCTTTTACCTTCAGGCAAACCCAGCTCGCGGGTTTGTGATGAACCCAAGCGCCTAGGTTCATCGCGAACCCAGGATGAACCTAGCTTGTGCGACTGGGTTCGCGACTGGGTTCGCAATGAACCCAGCTCGTGTGATTGGGTTGGCAATGAACCTAGCTCGTGTGATTGGGTTGGCAATGAACCCAGCTCGCGCCTGGGTTCGCGACATACCCAGACGCAAGTTGGGTTCTCAA